TTTCCGCCCTACTAAATGGTAGCAGCACGGAAAGTTGTGGAGAAGAAGAACCCGAGCCCGCAGTCGATGATGACGGAGTCGACGTTCCACCGCCTGACTATGACGAGGTACGTATAGCAATAACGCGGCTGAAAAACAACAAAGCCGCTGGAGCTGACAGCCTGCCAGCTGAGCTATTCAAGTACGGCGGCGAGGAGTTGATAAGGTGCATGCATCAACTCTTGTGCAGAATATGGTCAGATGAACGCATGCCCGACGACTGGAATTTAAGTGTGCTCTGCCCAATCCACAAGAAAGGTGACCCCGCCATTCGCGCCAACTACCGCGGGATCAGCCTTCTAAGCATAGGTTACAAGGTCTTATCGAGCGTATTGTGTGAAAGACTGAAGCCCACCGTCAATGAACTGATTGGGCCTTATCAGTGTGGCTTTAGACCTGGCAAATCCACCATAGACCAGGTATTCACAATACGCCAAATCTTGGAAAAGACCCGCGAGAAAAGGATCGACACTCACCACCTATTTGTCGACTTTAAAGCCGCTTTTGACAGCACTAAAAGGAGTTGCCTATACGCCGCTATGTCTGAATTTGGCATCCCCTCAAAACTCATACGGCTGTGTAAAATGACGTTGAGCAATACCACCAGCTCCGTCAGAATTGGAAAAGACCTCTCCGAGCCGTTCGCCACAAAACGGGGTTTCAGACAGGGCGACTCCCTTTCATGTGACTTCTTTAATCTGATGTTGGAGAAGATAATAAGAGCTGCAGAACTGAACCGCTCAGGAACAATTTACTACAAGAGCGTGCAATTGCTGGCTTATGCCGATGACATCGACATCATCGGTAACAAAAACCGCGAAGTCTGTTCTGCCTTTTCCAAGTTGGATAGGGAAGCAAAGCGCATGGGTCTGGTGGTAAACGAGGACAAGACGAAGTATCTCCTGTCATCAAACAAACAGTCAGCACATTCGCGCCTTGGCACCCACCTCACTGTTGACAGTTACAATTTCGAGAAAGTAGAGAATTTCGTTTACTTGGGAACCAGCATTAACACCGATAATAATGTCAGCATTGAAATCCAACGTAGAATCACTCTTGCCAACAAGTGCTACTTTGGACTGAGTAGGCAATTCAGGAGTAAAGTCCTCTCTCGACGTACGAAAACCACGCTCTATAAGTCACTCATCATGCCCGTGCTGGTATATGGCGCAGAAGCATGGACAATGACAACATCCGATGAGGCGGCTCTTGGAGTGTTTGAGAGAAAGATTTTGCGGAAGATTTACGGGCCTTTACGCGTTGGCGACGGCGAGTACCGCAGACGATGGAACGATGAGCTATATGAGCTTTACAACGACACGAACATAGTAAAGCTAATTAAAATACAGCGGCTCCGCTGGCTTGGCCATGTCGTTCGAATAGACACCGACGCTCCAGCTCTTAAAGTATTCAACTCGGAACCGGCTGGTGGTAGCAGAGGAAGAGGGAGGCCCCTTTGCGATGGAAAGATCAGGTGGAGAAGGCCTTGGCTTCACTTGGCATTTCCAATTGGCGTCAGTTGGCACAGAGGAGAAACGACCGGCGTGCTTTGCTGAACTCGGCCAAAATCGCTTAGGCGGTTACAGCGCCAAAAAAGAAGAAGAAGAATACAAAAGAAATGCATATACCTAACCCAAGGTTTGTTCTATGGTAATTAAAAAACATTTTTTGTTTAAATATTTTTCCATAGCTGGCTTTCTGCTGGCTTTCCTCGTTGAAATATTTCAGTTTGAAAGCTATTTTAGTCCTCTTTCAGTTGATACCAAACTTGTTTAATTTGGATAAGCGGTTTGTTTATTATTAGGAAAGGACTTTAGCTTTCGACTTAAAAATATCTGGCAAAGTTTAGCTGTTGAAAAAAGTAACCGTTATTTACGGTCCCTGGTTTATTCATATCGCCCGCATATAGCCGATATCGGCCGAGCACAATTCGGCCGATGCCGGCTGTAGTGTGCGCGTAGCATAAATTTCGTAAAGTTAAAATACCGTTCACAATTATTTGCATTCGCGTACTTGATAATTATTGAAAGTTATAAAAACCATCAGCTTTTTGTGTTCGCGTACGCAAAAACTTCCAAAGTAGGGGAAATTGAGAGAGCAAAATGACATTTCATTTTCCAGCTGGAAAAATTTTTGCCAACAGCAATTTGCCAACAAGAAAACAGCTGATCAAAAACAGCTGGTTGGAATTTACGCAAACCCATAAATTGAATTTATTGGTTTGGAAGATAACATAGTAACATGCGACTAAGTAAACTTGTACGAAGTAAGTAATTATATTCTGCTCGCGTACTATTTTGGATATTTTTCTCTTGTGAGAGAACATATGACATTTCGCCGGAATTTAGCTGTCTGACATTTTTTACTGGAGATTTTAAACGAACGTGCCTATTGACTAACCAACAATTAACAAAACTGTTACGAACGGCTTTAACTGACGTAAAACCAGATTTTGATAATTTCGCCAAAGGGATCTTTTCAATTTTCTTTAATATCTATTTTACTTACATTAGAATAATAATAAAATTAATGTTTTTCATTTCAAATAATAATTTTATTTAAAAATAAAATTTTTGCTTTTGTTGTTTTTTTTTGTGGCTCTTTGTAGCATCTAGAATTTACATGTGGCTCTTTTCGGTCTTGGCCTTGCCCACCCCTGGCATACAGGGAAACGAGGAGGCTGACAGACAAGCAAGAGAGGCCGTAGCCTCTCGACCTATAGGCCCTGACCCCTTCCTTGCATTGGGGCCTCATACAATCAAGGAGGAGTTAAGAGCAGAAGAGCAAAGGCTAAGAAAAGCACATTGGGAATACACGCCTGGGCTAAGACAGGCGAAAGAACTTCTTGGAGGATATAATACCAAAAGATCTAGGGAACTAATAACCCTGCAAAAGAATAACCTGAGATTCTTAAGAGGAATGCTAACGGGGCACTGCAGACTGCGGGCCCATATGCATAACCTGGGGATCAGTGCAGACGATTTGTGGCGGTACTGCGATATTGCACCAGAAATCCCACGGCATCCCCTATTGGAATGCGATGCGGTTGCGAGAAGGCTAACACACCTGGCCAGAGGCTACGCACGTACACTATCTACCTCCCTCGAATCTGCTCGGATTTATCAGAGCATTGGGACTGGACGATGTGTTGTGATGAGCTCCGAGCGCACAATAGGCCTAAGGTCGTGCATAGCTCCTAACAATCTATCCATCTAGGGGCAGAGGCGTCAGTTGAGTGGGGTTTTGTGCGCATGCGAAGAGATCGATCCATAGCTCTTACTCGCCAGCACCGCTCCTCTCTCAGATTAGTAGGCGGGGTAATTACCAGACATTGCCTGGTGGGCACACACCGTAAAAAGTTAGGATACCCCACCAACGATTTTTGTCTCAGTTGCAGGGACGAGGAGGAGACCATCGAACACCATCTCTGCCATTGTCTCGCCCTGGCCAACGCGCGCAACCAACTCTTCAAAAAGTACTTTCTGGATTATTAAGCCGACTTGAACTCGGCGAGCGTCCTCGACTTTTTGTGCTATATAAAACGCACTCAGTGGTTCAATGTCTTTGGTCAGAGGTATCACAACGGGCCTACGTGTGCTCCGTGCTCTGCGCGGGGCAGCCACTCTAACCTAACCTAACCTACTACTACTTTTTCTTAAAAACGAAAGTTACAATTTTTTCTTTTACAATAAATTTGCAAGTAAAAAGCTACAATTAATGGTAACATACTGGATATCTCAATTCTATCGCCTAGGTGTATGGTGTTAAGTTAGCACTACATACCATTTTTTCTAAAAACGAAAGCTACAAATTTTTGTTTTCATTTTTCAGTTTATAACGGTAAACTCGCTTTTTTCCAGAAAACCGAACGCTACAAATTTGTTTTTTTTCACAACAAATTTGCAAGTCAAAAGCTACAATTAGTGGCATAGTAACATATTGGATATCTCAATTCTATCGGCTAGGTGTATGGTGACAAATTAGCACTACATACCATTTTTTCTTAAGAAACTAAAGCTAAAATTTTTTTCTTTTTACAACAAATTTACAATAAAAAAGCTGCAATCGATGCCGTAGTTAACTTTTCCAATTTCGAAAAGTGTAGTGCTAACTTGACAGACGTCACAACTTACTCACCTTTCATAAGAAAATGATTTGCACTATTTGAGCGTACATCAGTCGACAATACAGATAAAAATCTGAATATAGCTATAAGTTACTGTTTGAGTAAACTTATTTATCGCATGCCTTTCTATGCATTTTCAAATATTTAATATTAAATTACCTACTAAATATTATTTCTTCAAAGGTACTTAATAAATTTTTACTTTTGGAAAATATTATAAGGTATTTCGGTAGAACGCGATTAAAAAATTGGCACATTGTTATTGTTAAATATTCTCCTTTCACATCTTTTACGCCGTATTTTGTTCGCTTTTTTTTTGTTTTAGTGTCTTATTACTCCCTCACTTCGAGCAATTTCTCTTGCCAATTGCCTAGGAGTAGTATCTTAATGTTTTTTTTTGCAGTCACTTAACCTTTTCATTTTACACATGACTAAAAAATTGTATTACATATAAGAAAACTGTAAGCAAAATTATAAATAAATTTCAGTTTTTGTCAATAACGAACTTTTCCAACATATTCCATACGAATGTATATCACTGTAACAAACTATTTGCACCATCGAAATGGTGGCTGTAAATAGCCCTTGAATGAATCGCGAGGTTATTCTAGGTAATTTGATTTGATTTCATCAATTGTCCATGTTTTTTACAAAACCGATACTACTTTCATAATACCCTTGTCATTTCATATTCAGATCATCTTCGATTTGCGATCTGCGATTTGCGACTGAATTGATTATTCGCATTGACTATTTAGGGGGTCAGGCCAAATATTTCACCTCCAGTTTTATTTACCCCAACTTAACTTTGAATCTCATAAAATAACTAACTTACCATGAATATCATGTGGATTATCGAGAGGTTTTGAGCCACCCCAGATAACAGCAAAAGTTGCAGTCAAATTCGGCGAACGCGAAGTATACTGAAACTCCATATTGTCACAATATATGGTATCTCCCAGAAGTTGTGCGTTTAAACTAGTAACACGGCCTTCGATGTTAAACTGGCATACAAAACGCGTTTGAACTATAAATTGTCCAATTATGTGCACTTTTACTTTAATGGACTTACTGGTTCCAGCAGCAACTAGCATTTCACTGCCTTCACCAGTGGCGTTAATTGTAGGACAAAATCCAGGACCTGAGCGGTAACTAGGTCCGATGCGGGAAACGCCAGTAACAAGAATATCGTTGCGACAATTTTCTGCAGTGTCATGAGTGCAACGATGTGCCTCCACACACCAATCACATGGAAACTCTGAAGAAACGCATCTAGTGCATGAAGAATGTGTACTGCAGTCAAAAAAGGTGAAATCGGTAGAAACAAGATCGGGCCCATCCTTCGTTCGAACGGATAACTTGGCTGTAAAGTGGTGTTTACCCTGTTCTATTTGTGGCAGCATATCGGTACGTGGCGTGGTACAGTTGACACCATTACGCTTTTTTGTTGCATTCGTAAATAATGCCTTCTCCTCCGTGGTAAAAGCACACACGAGATTTTCTTTCAGTTGCGGCAAATGATCAATAATGAGCTCTAAGGTTCTTGCGGTGGTTCGTTGCAATTGATGTGGTACAACACTTGTTATTGTTGTACACTTACCGGTCTTGTAACTAATCCAGTATAAGGGATCGTTCGCATCATCTTGACAACTAGAGCGCGGACTGCACTTGTTTTCAAGGGAACACCAGCCACAATATGGATCACGTGCTCCCAAACATTCTCCACAAGTGCCGTAATCTGAGCAATCATACACCTTTACTTTGGCAACTTCATTACGCGACATTACATAAATGTATAGATTCCGACTATCGAAATGCATATCTGGATTGATAGCTGAACCTACTTTTATGGGTATATTAGCATACTCATTTGCGGAGTCAGCCGATTCTACAACTACTTTTTTTAAATACCCTTTTGAGGTTCCAATGAATACAACTGTATAACCACTGGTACTTGTAGCAGCAACCGCGGTAAGTCGAGTATTAAACATAGCAACCGGTACCACTGCGATGGGTTGTTCACCACCCAATGGCGAGTTTACGTCGAGGCCACAAAAATCCTCTCCAATCGTTTGCAATTTCTGTGAATAAATAACATAATACATTAGCAAATTATATGAGTAACATGTATGCAGAGCTGATAAATGATGATTATAAGTTGTAAATAAAGCAAAAATAAATAAACATATCCTTAAAAATTAGATGACATTAAAAAAATCATCGAATAAATTTCGAAACCAAAGCTTCATACTTGTAATAGACGCACTTGAGAGTGAATTGAGAAAGAGGACTGAGGCCTATATACTTGTCCATAAACATTTTGGGTTCCTCAACAAATCGCGCTCGGTGAGAAATGTTCGCAGAAAATACAAAATTGTTTGAGATATGCGAAAGCGACTTGGATGACAATGTAGGGAACGAGGTAATAGAATTTAAAAATTTGTGTATGCAGTTTCAACCAGACTATGAAAAAAGTCAAGAAGTTTTTAGCAAAAACATATGGAAACTGCAGCTGATAAAAAACCGACATGACGGAAAATAGGCTGAGCTTTTTTGCTTTTTGCAGTCTCTTAAAAACAGAAATAATAATACCGTGCGCGCAAAAATCAACGCGGTTGTTTAGCAACTTCAAACTTGCGCTTTGTTATACTAAAGTTGCATGGGCTATAAAACTGCATTCTGAAAAATCTAATTAGAACTACGATTGCGAACTATTTAGAGTGCAAATTCATTGAATTTTCCTGAGCTTTACACAAAGTTTACAGATTTAAGTTTTAAATTTTTTTGTTGTAGTATGAACTATATTTTTTATAAAAAGTAGCGAAAATAAATTAGAATAAAAAACTTTGCATACATTGCGAAAAATTCTCTGTACCAATACTTTTGTCCGGCACTGTACATATGAATGTATGTACATTAGAATGCATCAGCAAATAAAAGTTGCTGTTGTGTGTGTGTGAAATAACACAAACGGCAATAACGCAAAGTTTGCTTTATTTCACTTTTAAATGGGAAATAATACCAAAATCTGAGTTTTGCTTTATTTCCAACAAAGGTTGGAAATAAAACACCTTTTNAAAATTCTGGAACTTTCTTTAAAAAATTTGCTGGTTACTTAAAAATGTGCTGTACATCTCGCATAATGCTGGAACTTTCTTAAAATGTGCCGTTTGCATACAATTTATGCTGTACCTCGCGCACCATACTCCACCGTTTAATGTAAAAATATTATGTTAGGGTTTTTTCCCACCAACCGGGGCCACCACCAGCGACTTTACAGTGCCTTTAGCACTTTTTCATTTTGGAGCAGATTACGTGACTNAAAAATATAGGAAGGGAGTCGTCTTTAATAACTGCTCAACAATTGGACATAGCACGTCCATAAACCTAGCTGATCCAAGTCGCCAAAGATCAATAAAAATTAGCTAAGAATTAGGTGTATTTTAGGTGTTAGTTAGGGCCTCCAANTTACCGTACAATGAAACGACTTTAAAACACCGGGTTACAGCTCCGGTTCCAACTGGGGCTCCGCTATGCCAGGTATGGGTAGCAGCACTACACATGGAGTTACAACACTCCGAGTTTCCACGGTAAAGCAGTGAATTATGTTTATAATAAAAATAGTGTACACACGCGAGTACTACTTTCGGTTTGAAAAAATAAAAATACTTGTTTTAATTTTTCACAAACGTTAATTAAATTTTATTGAACTTATATGACCGGTCAGGTTGAAAGGCGAGTATCGAGTGAAAANGTTAAATTTAGGTTTTAAATTTTCCAAATATATGGTGGAATTAGGAGTCTTTTAGGTGTTTTTCAACGCCAATAAAACCAATTTAGTAGCTCCATTGGTTTCCTAGGTTGGAAAGAAACAAATTTTGCCTTATTTCCCATTGTTTATTTGTACTATTTGTAACAAAAACAGTTTACTGACAGAAGGAAAAAGAACTTTGTTTATTCCAAAAATACAATTAAACAAAAAATGTGATATATTTCATATGAAGAAAGTAATATTAACAAAATATTTTTACTTATGAAATGTCTAAAAAAATATAGGAAGGCAGTCGTCTTTAATAACTGCTCAACAATTGGACATAGCACGTCCATAAACCTAGCTGACCCATCGTTAAATTTAGGTTTTAAATTTTCCAAATATATTGTGGAATTAGGAGTCTTTTAGGTGTTTTTCAACGCCACTAAAACCAATTTAGTAGCTCCATTGGTTTCCTAGAAATTCGCAAAAATGTGTGGGTCAGCTAGGTCTACGTAAACCTAGCTGACCCATCGTTAAATTTAGGTTTTAAATTTTCCAAATATATTGTGGAATTAGGAGTCTTTTAGGTGTTTTTCAACGCCACTAAAACCAATTTAGTAGCTCCATTGGTTTCCGAGAAATTCGCAAAAATGTGTTTTTCAGCTAGCTCAGCGCTGTTAAGCTAGCTGAACAATCTTAAATTTTTTTTTTT